TCATTTTTTCTATCTCTTCTTTGTCGATAATGATTTACAGCAAAGCTTTTGAGTGCACACTAGTGCTTCTTTTATTCACTCTATCGTTGTTCTCATTTTCGTTTAGTAGTATGTTTTCTAGCTTTCATTTTTCTATTTCTAATCCTGGTTCTTTTTTGACGTCTCTTTTTGCTCTTATTTTGTTCTATTGTTGGTAGGTTTTCCCGTTTTACTAATAATTAAGACGAAAAGGGGTGCTGTTCATTCTTGCACTGCTCCTAACCTGTTCTATCATTCTCTGGTTTTGTGTTATTGAGCAGTGTTTTTAGCTGTTTTAACTGCTGATTTACTTAAATTGAAGGGCATCTCTGAACGGTGAAACAGGCAAAAACAGAGAGATAAGAATTTTACCGGGTTGATTAAATAACACAAACTTATCCTTTTATTGAGATTGTCGTTCTGGTAATGGGGGAGGATGGGGTGGCAGTTGCAATACCTTTCATCATAGAATCCAATGTTTGTTTTTGCCTCTATTGCTCTGTTTCCGTGAAAACTCACAATGCAAACGGCAAAGTGTCTCCTCTCTGATTCTCTTTTTCCTCGTTTAGAAAGTTGTTGCTGCAATGAAGTACAACCCAGGTCGGTGTAATGGGCAAATGGTGGTGCACTTTACAGTGAAGCCATAAGCTGGCTGATTGCTGGTGCTGCAGCTGCTGCAATGCAGTCACGCTGCACTTGTCGTACAATTGGGTTTGCTCCTTCTGCAGTCGGTAACGTCACTCTGCAGTGGCAGCCAGAGCAAGCAAGCATTTTTGTACTTTTAGTGCACTACCCTTTTAAGTCCATTTAGGTGGTCTTTGGGCTTTGCATAACACACACCGTGATTTGGCTGATTTTTCTTGGTTTCAACTGCATACTGCTTCTCTCCAGCAGTGTGTTTGGTTTTTCTGGGTGCCCAGTTGCTCAATAATTAACAGTGGTGCTCTTTACGCTTCCTTTTTTTCTGCGAAAATTCTGCTGCGGAACATGGGTGAGCTGTGTGCAGTGGTGGAACTAATGAAGGGGTTCGGTCAACTTTCAGTCACTGCAGCTGCTGCTGCTGACCTTCATGCACCTGCAATTTGTGTCCCTGAAAAGTGAAATTGAGGTCACCAGGGAATTTGTGCGTTTATGTATTTTTTACGAAAAGTAAATGGATTCCGGTGAGCAGAATCCAGCGCCAGTTTACTAGTAGACAAAAAGTAAAAACTCCGGTATCGATGACAAACTGGTCGATTCTGGTCAGCAGCGGCAGCAGCAGCTCAAAGATATGTCCAGTATCGGCGTAGGAGGAAGAATGCTGAATTTTGTTCCTTTTCTTCCCCTTCTTTTTCTTCTTTATATTCCGTCTGATGAGGACATTTTACTTTTTTATTATCCTGGTGCAATATATTAAAGGCAATCTATTATTTTTTCCTTTCTGTCTGTCTCTCGTTCTTTCTATTCTCTTCTCACCCTTTGTCGCTCATTGAGCACATAATCGCCTCGTTGAGGTGTCGACACTGTCAATTGTCCCTCTCCCTCTCTCGATCGACATCTTTCAGTGTTTATTGCCCACTAAACACATTTTGGGTTATATAGCGCAGCATCGACATTTTTTGACCAATGCTTGTCTGTCAATTTGTCATGCATGCATGACAGTCCCCCGTTCCCCTTTCATCTTTCTATTTTGCTTTCCCTTGACTTATCTTAAATTCCTGAGCACAGGCACCGAATAGGGTTTGTTTTTTAAATTTTTAATAATTCTAACGAAAGGGGATCTCTCCGATCTCCGATCTGGTCTTCTACTGCTACCAGTAGAGCAATATATGATGTGCCTTGAGAAAGACAATTAAGCTTCTGCTGCTGTACTGGCCGCCCGGGCAATGATGCTGAGGCTGGTGCTCCTTCAATAGCAAAGGAATTTGGCGATTGACAAACGAGGAACACTGAAGATGGTGAAGATGGTGATGGAGATGGAAAAGAGAGAAAGACTGTGTCAGTGGTGGTGATGGTGATGCTTTCTTGGGCACTTTTGTTCGTCAGCACTCTACAGCACTGTACAACATGTGGTGATGTTGGCGCTTTGTGCTCCATTTAGGAGCTCCTGATGCTTAGTGCTGGAGCTAGTGGTGTTTATTAGAAAAAAAACTAGGTGGACCTTCCCCTCTTTTCTGTTTAGTGGTAATAATAATAGGGCAGTAGTGAGAGCTATGTGTGAGTATTATGCATTTTCAATCGTGAAAAAGAGAAGGGCTCAATTGAGTGGCAAATGAGAGAGTGAGAGAGAAAGTGTACCACAGACGTACTCTACTACACTGACTAACTGACTGATTGAATGGCTGTACAATGTGTGGGCCTGTGCCGCCGCTGCTTAGTGTGTCAGGCACCAGTTTTGGTCTTCTTTCACATTCACTGTTCACTTTACTTTAGAGACCACTTGCCAGCAGCAGCAGCAGCGTGCACACTTTTTGGACAGCCTGCAGGACACGCACCTGCAGCTGATATTGCTGCTGACGCTATTCTGTAGTGTCTACTCTGGTACTGCTCTGGTTCAGCGTCTGCAGTGCATCTCTCCTTCCTCACCCCGTGCCTGTGCCATTCGCTCACTGGGCTCAGTGTCACTAGGATGTCGCTTCTGTACTATCACTCAAGTGATGGAAACTTGTTGAAACTGCGGAGACTGAGAAGGTGCTAGCTGCAGTTTTTTTGCAATTGTGCTTTCCCCTCCCTTCTTTTTTCTTTTTCCCCCCTCGTGTTTCTGTTTTGGTGTCCGCTCTTGATGATCATATTATTCAGCAGCGGTGCTTGCCTGCCTGTCTCAATGAATGAATGAATGCACCTTTTCTACTTTTATTTATTTAACTTCTGCTCTGTCTTCTGTCGGCTAATCGTCCACCTTCATCTCCTAGTCGCCCTTGCATCTAATCTCTGTTTTACCACAATTAATCATCTTCTCCTGCTGCAGTTGCTGCCGTTTGTCATTCCTTGTCTTCTGTAACTTTTTCTTTCTCAAGTCAATTAGTCATCTGCGGCCGTATTCATTTCAAATGTCTTTATTCGAGTGTTTTGTTTGTTCGTTTGTTTGTTTGCACCAGAGTATCATAAGGAGCACATGATTTATCGATGCATTATTAGTTAACTCAAAGGAAGAGAAAAAGTGCACTTCGGATTTTGTTTGTCTCCTTTTGTGTGCCTTTGCGAGCACCCCTGATGATTTCTTCATTACTGCTGCTGCTGTTCACTCAATCGATCGGTTGTTTTCTCCACTACTGTTGTCTTTCGTCGTTTATTGCATCTTCTTCTTCGTTTATCTAATTCTAGTGTACATGTCACGTGTGGAAGTTTAATGCTCACATCGACTATCCCTTAAACACTCCCTCCTGTTCAGTAAACAGCGGCTAATGCTGATCCAAATCGCTCGTCAGCTCCTGCGATACCGATCTGATGTGTCCAATTTTTGACAAGTGACTGATTGGAGACACAGAGTTGTTGCTGTCTCCGTGTACGTTTGCAGTGCACTGCACAGTGTGTGACTGTGTTGTACGGTTGCTGATTTCATTAGCAGCAGCAGTGACATCAATATCAACATCATCTGCAGTTAATCTTAATGTCGGTGATGAGATGCTCGCTTCACAATGACTGATTCTTTTTGTTGAGAAAAAGGAGCACTTTTTCACTGTTTTTACGATGGACATCACAGTGTCACCACACCAGCACCAGATGCTTTGTTTTACGCTGTAAAGATTTAATGTTCTTTCAGTACAGAAACAACCGTGTCTATTAGGGTCATCCCCAACTAATCTGATGATCATCGCTATGAGTTTCCACACTACTACTCTACTCGTTGGTTTTGTTGTTCTTTATTATTATTGTTTTGCCTCCATTTCCCTCTCCTCTTCACTGTCTTCTTCTTCCTTTTTTTCCTCGCCGATCTGTCAATCTCCGTCTGAGTGGTGTTTCCTCTCGTTCTTTCTCTCCCTCTCTCTCCCTCTCTCTTGGGATCTAGTACGACGCTGCTGATCTTTGCCGTCAATCAACAGCATCAGCTGCTTTTATCAGTTGCTCTGCCTTTCTGGTCTCGTGTCGTACCACTGTCATCGCTGATCATCACAAATCTCCACTCTTTTTCTTAATAGTATTGAGGTAGAAGGTACTTTTCCCAAACGCATCACAGTCACCGTTATCATCAACACCACCATCAAGCAGATCATCCTCTCATTTGTTGGCCACTGGCGAACTCGTTTCCTCATCATCACCACTATCCGACATCTAAAACAAATCTGAACATCTGTTTTACTGCTGCTGCTTACGACAGTTGTTCTGGTGTTACACCATGCCAACCTTTGAATGAGTTAAAAAATATTGCGCTCTTCAATGACGTCTTTTAGCAAAAAATCGTTTCATTTTTTTCAAATTCAATATATTCATTCATCATCTTCTTTCTAAAGTGACATATTGGACATTCAGGAGTCGACCATTCAGGCAGTCTTGCTCTCCATAAATCAGCTGTGATGTTGCAAAACACTGTTTTGTCTGCTCAAGACATCTTTTCAAAGGTCCTGTGACCTGGCTGGCCAGGTGATTTATCGGTGACAACGGTGACTGTGAATGTGTGCGACAAACACTGGTGGGCGATACACGCACACAACCACTTTCGGTGTTCTCCTTTTCTCTTTCTCCTTTTAGTTCTGCTTACATTTGCATTCTCAAATTTTGCATCACTATCTTCCAATTGAATCTCTGCTGTTGTTGCTGCTGCTGCTATTTCCTCTACACCTGACACCTACAACTGCAACTTCTTCTTCTTGTCACAAGTAATACTAATGATGATGTCACACGTGTGCCAGGACTGTTTCCTCTCGTGAAAAAAAAGAGACCGAGTCAGTCGTGGTGAGTCAGTCGCCGATGAGCGTCGACCCCGAGAAGGTCGCATCTTGAAAAGAGAGATATCGTCTTAGAAGGCGAAATTGAAAAGTTTCTCTATCACCACCATCAGCACAATGTCCGGTGGTGGGCAAAGTTCCACCTCGGTTGCGAAGCTGGCCACGGTCAGCAGCAGCGGCCATCACCACCAGCACCATACAACTGCATCACCCTCCTCGACCCAATCGACCAACACGAGCAGCGCCAGCACCTACTACCCCTCACCACCTGTGACCATCAGGGGCAAGTCCAACTCGGACTGCAGTCGCTTTACCTACTCTGATCTCGGTAAGTGCATTCTTTCCTAAAGATTGACCCTTTGTAATTAGGTTTTGGAAACTCGTTTTTACCAGGTTATGAATCTCTGCACTCGACGCCAAAGTCGACTCTCGGCACTGGGGGTAGTGAAAGTGCTGGCACCGGTGGAAAAAGTAACCAGTGCTCTAGTGCCGCCCTCGAGCTGTCCTCCTCACTTGGCGGTGATGGTGATGACTGCGGTGACTCGGCAGAGTGCGTCTGTTTGCCTGAGGAGGAGGAGGAGGGAGAAGATGACGATGACGACGAATCAGTGGAGCTAAAGTGCAATCGAGATCCTATTCGACGGCGCATCTCACTCACTACCAAGGAGAATCACAGCGTCCACCCGAAAACCTCTTCTTCCTCTTCTAATGCAGCAAATTCTGCAGAAGAAAAAAAGAAAAGGAAAGACCACCGTAGAGCCTCTAAAAACTGCGGCGGGAGCAACAGCAGTAATTCAGCGTTCAGCAGTCTTCGGCGATGTCGCTTTCGGCGGTACCTCTTCAAGTGGATGGGAGGAGGTGGAGGTCGTGGTGAGCAGGTCGCCAACAAGACGCTGACCATTGAAGATGGCGACAGTGAACTGGTTGAGATTCACGAGGAGCAGCTGGTCGTGGCCACTACCACTTCTTCTACGACGCCCACTTCAGGAGCAGTTGATGGTGGTGGTGTAAATGGTGCTGGAGGTTTAGTAACTGGAGGCAATGGCGAGGTGCGCGAAGAGTGGGGCAAAAAGATGGACTTTCTTCTCTCCATTATCGGCTTTGCCGTAGATCTCTCCAATGTGTGGCGATTTCCCTACCTGTGCTACAAGAACGGCGGAGGTAAGCTTTAAAGTGATTTTAAAAAAATAAAATTTTTTCTGAATTTTTCGTTTTCTCAGGCGTCTTTCTCATTCCTTATACGATCATGCTCCTTTTTGGTGCCCTGCCTCTTTTCTTCATGGAGCTCAGCCTGGGCCAGTTTGCCAAGTCTGGGCCGATCAACATTTGGGACAAGATCTGTCCGCCGTTGAAGGGCATCGGCTACTGCTTTGTCCTCATCAGTTGGTACGTCAGCTTTTACTACAACGTGATCATCGCCTGGACTACCAACTACGTCATCAAGACGCTTATTTCTGGTTGGGATTTGATCAGTAGTGGTTTCTGAACAATTTTAAAGATACTTGTGTGTTTTCACAGGCGAGGAGATGCCCTGGCAGCACTGCGGCAACAGCTTCAACACCAAGAAGTGCATCAGCATGGACGACATTCGCAAGCAGTGCGGCAATCGAGAGAATCCGGTGGTGAATCGATCGGAGGCGGTCTGCGGACAGTTGGCCAATCGGACATCGCCTACGGAGGAGTTCTTTAAGCAAGTTCTTGGGGTTTAACGTTTTTGAAAATGTTATCATTAACTTTTCTTTAAATTCTCCAGTTTTGGCCTGCTACAAATTGACAAAGCGGACGGTTTCTCAAACATGGGCGTCCTCCGACCGGAACTGGTCGGCTGCCTTATCATAGTTTTCATTACGCTCTACTTTTCCCTATTCAAAGGCGTCAAGTCTTCAGGAAAGGTGGGTCCAGGGTTCTTTTTAATATTGATTTTTAGTTTAACAATCTTCCAATTCTTTAGGTCGTCTGGGTGACCGCCACCGCCCCTTACTTCATTCTCACCATTCTCCTCGCCAGAGGACTCTTTCTTCCGGGAGCTTGTACGTTTTGTTTTGAAACCTATTTTGAAGTTTTTTCTAATTAACTTTCTTCTTTCAATTCAGTATCGGGCATCAAGTACTACATCAGTCCTCGAATGGAGATGCTTTCCGACCCGAATGTGTGGGTGGACGCAGCCGTGCAGGTCTTCTACTCGATCGGCGTCGGCTTTGGTGTCCACCTCACCTACGCCTCTTTCAACAAGTTTAACAACAACTGCTACGCCGACTGTCTGGTGACCGCATCCGTCAACTCGCTCACCTCCTTCTACTCGGGTTTTGTCATCTTCACCTACCTCGGCTACATGGCTCACTCAATGGACAAGGAGATTCAGAATGTTGCTTCGGAAGGCTACGGGTTGGTTTTTCAGGTAAGGAAACATTTTGGCATTGTGACTCGGTTTTGTAAAAAAACATTCTCAATATTGTTCTTTTTTTAATCAGGTGTACCCCGAGGCAATCAGCACGTTGCCCTTTGCCAAGTTTTGGTCCATCCTCTTCTTCTTTATGCTCCTCACGCTAGGCATCGACTCAGCGATGGGCGGCCTGGAGGCGGTCATCACCGGGCTGATGGACGAGTTCAGGTTGCACAACTGGATCAGACGAGAGGTCTTTACTGTTATCGTCATCTGTGGATCGTTTTGCGGGGCGTTGGTCAACTGTACACAGGTACAGGACTAATTGTGCTGTTGTTTTTTATCAACAATTTTCATCATACTTTTTTGTGTATTTTCAGGGTGGCGGTTTTACAATGGTCTGGTTTGACACCTACTCGGCGGGCATTAGTTTGCTGTGCTCAGCGATGTTTGAAGCACTGGCAGTGACGTACTTTTACGGTAATAAACTAGGAAGAAAAAATTGTACTAAACTGAATAATTTAAATTGACCCGTTTGTATTTTGGCAGGTATTGACAAGTTTGTCCTAGACATTGAATCGATGATTGGCCACAAGCCCAACTGGTTTTTCGTCATCAGTTGGAAGTATGTCAGTCCCATCTTTCTTTCTGTAAGTAAATTTCATCAAACTTTTATCAGCTAGACTGTCTGATTCCTAACCATTACCACAATTAGACCGTCATCATCATGTCAATTCTCAACTCTGAGACGGTCAAGTACTACAACTACGAATTTCCCTTCTGGGCGACCTTCAGCGGGTGGTGCTTTACGCTGAGCTCCATCTCCGCCATACCAATCTACCTAATTTACTGGTACTGCGGGGGCGGTCAAAGACGACATGACAGACTGATGGCTCAAAAGACTGGGGTGCACCTGGTGCAGATGCACACTGATGGTAAGGGGGCTAATCCTCAGACTACGACGACCACCACAGACCACTCGATGCTCAAAAATCACTACATTACTGGTGCAGGTCAGTGGAATAAAGGGCACTTTTGATTCCGATTCAATTGTTTGATATTTTTCCTCACAGACGCCCACTCCCAAGCACCGCAACAGCACCACCGAAACTCTGAGCAGCTGAACAACAGTCAGGCAGTTTTTGTCTGATTTCTAGGTTTTCCTTTTCTGCCTCAAAATAGGAAATATTATTCTACTTCACATACTATTTATTATCTTCAGACTTCCTCAGCTTAGCAATTGTACTCTTTGAGCCAGATTTGTCCAGACTGAGTGCCAACCACCACCCTTCCATTTATTTTCAAGTCCTTGTATTAGGTCCTTTTTCTCCAGACCAACTCACTCTAGAGCTCCATTGCTTACACTGTACAAAGTCCAAGTATCCACTTCTCACGAGTATTCGCCAAAGAATTGCCAGCCAAGTATTACTCATTATCATTATCAAACTTCTTTGCTCATCTTTTCTGATTACAAAAAACCCTTTTTGCCCATTTCATTATCGTCATCATCACACCCATCATCCTTCATTATTTCACAGACACGCCCATACAAACTTCTTTTGTCTCCGTTGTACTTTTGTTGTCGTTGTTGCCGTTGTTTGTCTGTTTTTTCTCCACTTCTTCAACCTCATCCAGCTTTGCAAACTCGTCACTTGTTATCCGCTTCGCTCACATCTCCAACCCTCTTTTTGTTTCAATTTGCAATCGCTTTTGCTAACCTTTGATTTCTGTAACCTTGTGCTAAGTTTGGATGTGTAAGTTACCAAAAAGATGCTAACCAAAGTTGTCCTAACGTTGTCCAGTCAGCGGCAGTAATGTACTGCCTAAGAAAGAGAACAAAAAATTGAAAAAGAAAATTAAACTTTACAACAATTTTACTGTGTTTGTCCTTTGACCAAAGTTAACCAAGTCAGTTGAAATCAAGTGAATGAAAAATGAGGTGCATTCATACTTGCTTTACTTTTTTCAGTCATCATCATCATCATCAACATCTGCATTTTCACAGTTCGCCAAGCACAGCAGGACAGTTGAGTGTCACCCCCTTCACCCCACCATCACCATCATGGCCGTGTGACGTCAATTGACGTCTAACGACGTCCTCACACACCGGTGTCACACACTTTTTCAATCGGTGATTTAGCGCTCTTTTGGCGCACCAAGTCTTCATGTGCTCTCTTCCGTTTCTGCGCTAATAAAATTGTCTCTCTTTCCATTGTCTGGTTATTTATTGTGGCATTGTTTTTCTTTGCCTCTTTTTCTTTTACCTGGACTCATGTCGTCACTGCCGTTGACTAATGGCCCTACACCATTAGGGGGTGATAAGAAGAATTACGAGCACTTGTGTTTGTATGTGTTCGGCAGACAGCAGAGACTGCAGTCTCACAAGACGGTGATTGTCTTCTGTTCAAACACACACACACAATCACAACTAACTCTCCACTTGTCAAAGACAAATGTCACTTTTTTGTTGTTGTCCCTCGTTTACGTCAGGGCCTCTCCTTGCTTGCTTTCTTTCTTTTCGCTTTGTTCCTTCTGTATTTTCACGGATGTGTCGGACTGAATCAACANCACACACACACACACACACACAATCACAACTAACTCTCCACTTGTCAAAGACAAATGTCACTTTTTTGTTGTTGTCCCTCGTTTACGTCAGGGCCTCTCCTTGCTTGCTTTCTTTCTTTTCGCTTTGTTCCTTCTGTATTTTCACGGATNCACTTTTTTGTTGTTGTCCCTCGTTTACGTCAGGGCCTCTCCTTGCTTGCTTTCTTTCTTTTCGCTTTGTTCCTTCTGTATTTTCACGGATGTGTCGGACTGAATCAACAAACAGCCCACAGGCAGGCAAAGGCAGAAACTGGTCTGTCCTTTAGTGCTAACTCTTTTTGTCGGTTCAGCAGATGATGATGATGATGATGATGAAGATGGTGATGATGATTTACTAGAGCAAATACAAAGCACATGATGGACTTTAAGATAGAAGGGATACCACCAAAAACACAAACCCCGCCACCGCTACCACGACTAGCTGCTCTTCAGCTCGGTCAGTTTTGGTTCGTTTTCAAGTTTGGTTTAAAGTTTGTTCACAAGCAAGTTTTTAATTACCACCAGAGCCGCTATCAAACACCACAACCACCGGCACAGTCATCGATCGAACGATTAGTGGCGAGTTGGTCAGCAACAACAACAATCAATAAATTCAAGCCGTTTTCCTCTGAAATTGGCCGTTTATTAGCTGCCTTCACTCAAAAGCACACACAAGCAAGACATCCTTCATCATCATCATCGCCATCAGCTCCAACTTCATCGATTGGACTGCTCATTAAAGACTAATCGTATGCACCTTCTTCTAGTACACCTTCTGAATTACCTCCGTGTCTGTCTGACTTTTCTCCTTCTTCATCATCTTCTTCTACTTAATCTTCGTTTTGCTTTTGTCAGCCTTTTTTCTTTCTGACGGCCAACTCCATCAGCATTCACAGTGGTGGCTGCTGATGCTGCTGCTGCATCAGCCATTCATGTATTCAACAGGACCACTGAGACTTTTTCGGCTGCAGCAGCACTGTACGGCGCTGTTGGCCATGGGCATTCTCTCTCTCCGCCACCAGTTGAGTGATCGCTCGCTTTCTCTCTCTCTTCTTTCTCATTTCTATCATTCTTTGCCTCTTTCTTCTCATGCTCTCCTTCATCCTCGTTCATTAACGCTACCACCACCACCACCACCACCACCATCAACAGCAGTAGCAGGAGTACTTGTAGCGTGTTCTCTGCACTGGTGGCGATGGTCGTCGCTTACTCTCTCTCACTCTCACTCACTCACGGCGATCCCTTTCATTTGAAGCTCTCTCTCATTTATAGCGATTCGATTGACGTCACCGACAGCAGCAGCAGTAGTTGAAGAACACATCAACGGCGGACACAGCAGCAGCAGTATCGGCAGGAGTAGTACTGTCTGACTGACTGACTGTTTGCCTTCTGGTACTGCCGCTGAGAGAGTGTGTGAGTGTTTACGCCAACCAGCGACAGCCGACGAACATGCACGACGACGATCACCAAAGTAGGAGAGAGAGAAGGATAGAGCGGGAGAGACGGTGGCCACTTGTTTTCCCTTCTCGGCCATCGAATCGACCATCTGCAGCAGTAGCAGTAGCAGCAGCCGTCGTTCTCCGGTCGCATGCAGAGAGAGAGAGAGAGAGAGAGAGTAGCGCCAACTCTGACTGAACTAAACTAACCTGCTCCCTGCTGTATTTATCTCCCATTCAGCTCAGTTATGCTCCCTCCTGTTTGCTTCTGCTGCCGATGATGATGATCAGAAAGCAGAAGCAGCGACAGCAAACAAATAATAATAATATTGGCTCACCGGTGCCACCACGTCCACCTTTTCCAGTGTGCCAACAACAGCAACCAAAGCAGCAGCAGCCCTGCAAACAGGTAGGAAAGAGTGCTGGATCGCTGTGACTGATGCTGGCGATGTTCTGTGACACTCTGTGCTTCCACTGAAGTAGCTGCTGCTGCAGTTGCTGATGTGTATGCTGCTGCTGTTGTACGGCAACTGTTGCTTCCAAAACGGCTGTTGCTGTTGCTGTTGCTGGTGCACCACAGTAGCACAGGTTTCAGTGTGAGTCGAGTGAGTGAATCGTGTACGACATTGACTGGAACAATCGAGAATACTAGCTCTACCACCACCACCTGAAACCTAGCTCCCATCAACTTGTCATCTTTATCAGCCCCTTATCAGTTCATCATCACTACCACCACCACCATCATCATCATCCTCAACAGAAGTTGACACTGACTGACGTCTGTTCTGTTGCTGCTGTCGCACATCTCGTGTTCTAGCTCTTCTTTTTCTTCTTTTTCCTTTCCACCTATGAGTGTGCTAGCGCAGTGTGTCACTCACGCAGCACTCTCGATTCGCTTCAGCTGATCTGCAAAAAGCTGCAGCAGGTAAAGAGATTTAGCTCATCTGAAGAACTGATCAGTAGAGCTACCGCCACTGCCAACAGCAGCATCAGCGTCTGCTCACATCCATCATCTATCTATTAACGTCAATCAGGTCTTCTCCCTCCCCTCTATCGCAATCACCTCTTTACTTTTCAGCATTTGAGCGTCTGCATTTACAGGGCAGTGTTCGTCAATATATAACTGTACAGTTTAGCATTATCACTGTCTGGTTGAAAGGAGTGCTGTAAACATCACTTGTTCAACGACATCATCAGAAACTACCTGTGTTTACCACCAGCACCACCACGACAATCATCGATTGACGTCCTGCTCCGGTCCTGCTCTCCCCTGCCTCATCTTCCACCATTCACCACCAGCATCATAATCGTCACCATCCCTTGCCACACTTTCCCTTCTTACCGATGACGAGGGTGAGAATGATGATGAGGTTCACTGCTGCAGACCGTCCACGCAACTCAACGTTCCACAATCGATGATGTTCAACAGGCAGCCGCCGCAAGCTTTTGTTTGTTCTACTTTGGCTGGTGCTGCTGAATTTGGCGATAGTGCCGGCGACTTGCAAACAGGTGTTTTACAAAGGTAGGTGGTGGAAGTTAAAAACGCCAAAACCTTTTATTGTTAACTAAGCTCTAGAGTTCTCTACACCAAAGAGAATTCCATCATCATTTTCGCATGGCACAGTATC